GCAAACATTTCTAACATGATCTTTCTCTATTTTACCATTTCTGGCTACTCCTTTTTGTATTTTTCTCTTTCCTTCCAGTTGCATTTAGCCTAAGTTAAAGCCTGAAAAAGCAGCTGGGCATGGCGGCATGTCCGAGCTACTCAGGAGGCTGAAGTGGGAGGATGGCTTGAGTGCAGGACTTCAAGGCTGCAGTATGCTAGGATCACACCTACGAATAACCACTGTATTCCAGCCTGGGCAACATAGCTAGACCCTGTCTTATTTAAAAAAGAAAAGAAAGGAAAAAAAGCTGGAAAAAAACAAAAGGAAGTGCTGTGTGACATTATTCAGGGAGATGAGGTTAATAGTTTTTAGGCATCTGGTTTTCATCCTATTTACGGTACAGAAGTAGAAATAGGGACCTTGTAGATCCAGTACTGACTTGGCAGATAAGAGGAGAAAGTAGTCCAGAGGAGAAACCCTACTCAATGAGGGGAAGAAACTGTGCACTGGCAGTAACAGTAACACAAAACAAGTATGGAGGAGTAAAGTGTAAAGGGAAGAGGACAGGTAGGAAAATGATTAAAGTGCTGTGAAGAAGTTAAAGATCAGACCAGGTGCTCTGGCTCACGCTTGTAATCCCAGCACGTTGGGAGGCCGAATTGGGCAGATCACCTGAGGTCTGGAGTTCAAGATGAGCCTGGCCAACATGACGAAACCCCGTCTTTACTGAAAATACAAAAATTAGCAGGGCATGGTGGCACACGCCTGTAATCCCACCTACTTGGGAGGCTGAGGCAGGAGAATCGCTTGAATTGCTTCACATGGTGAAACCCCCTCTCTACAAAATACAGAAATTAGCCAGACGTGATGGTGCGCGCCTGTAGTCCCAGCTATTTGGGAGATAGCACCACTGCACTTCAAACTGGGCAACAGAGCCAGACTCCATCTCAAAAAAAAAAGTTGAAGATCATAATTCTGAAAAATAGAAATTAAAGAAAAGCTACAGGAAAAAAAATGAGATCGAAAAGGAAATGGTTGAGATTCTTTCGTGAAACTGAAGGACCTCCTAGCATTTGACTTGCTGCTGAAAATAAACAACAAAAAAACTTTTAAACACATTTTAAAAAATCGAGGCTCAAGGAAGGAAGACTTTGGCAGAAGGACCATCAGAGACCATAACTGGTTTCTTTTCTTTGGAAAAGAGCAGAAGGTGTAAATGCAAACACAAGCCAGTGTTAGAAAGCTCAATTAACATTTGACTTTCTTCCCTCTCCTTCATAAAAATAAAAATAATTTATGTTGAATTTTTGCATCTTACCCTATCCTTTCTCATTTCCATCTTCTTTGTAATTAATATTAGTGAGTCATTATCAACAGATCAGTAAATGGAGACAAAAGAAAAGCATTTGCCTGAAACTATTTTCAGGTCACAGAACAGAACTGGCCTTCGAGTTTGTAACCTCTCCATTCTTGGTCTCTATTATCAGACAGCAATAACTACTGAAGAAGACATTCTAGACTACCTAGTACCAGTTAATTTGAATCTTCTATCTGTACTATTTAATGGAAGAAGATGAAACAATAGGTAGTCTCTACCCCAATCATTTGAAATTCTCATGCGCAGGCAAGCACGCTCTCATGGTGGTCTTGCTCAACTCCTGCTGGTAGCCAAGAAGGTGAGGTGGGAGGTCATGCAAAATCCACCTAATAACTATTTGTCGACCAATCCTTAACTGACTTTTCGACACTGATGAAGACCAAGAGCCTGTGGAATTACAAAATTCATTACCTCGCAGTGCCTATTTTTTCTAAGGCCTGCATTTTCTGTGTCTGTGCAATTCTGTATTTGTAATAAAGAACCATTATCATTTCTTTTCAATGTCGTATGATACAATCAATTTTACTGATAAGTTCTGAAAATCCTTAAGTAGGCCTGCAAAAATGTGGCTTCCTGTGAGCCTCCCTATCTGCCTCAGATCTATGTATAAATGGACCCCGTTCAGTTTCACTTGCTTTCAAACACGTACCTTTGAGGTTTGGGAATTCAAGGGCAAAGTGATTTTAATTTGATGCATTTTGTACTTTGACCAATAAGGGAAAAATAAATGCCCTCAATTTTGATTGGTTCTAGTCATACTTGCCGGTCACTATTTGTCAAACCATTGCACAGAATATCACAGGCATGAAAGATCTCTCAAAAACAGATTTCTGAGGAATGCAAATAAACAGAATGGGGAGGCGGATTAATGTGTTTGATTTCTCAAAAGTCTATTTACTGTCCAATTTATCTTGGTTCTTGGACATGCTAGCAAGTAATTATTCTTATGGCTGGTAAAATGACTACTAAACATTTATTAATAATTGCAGTTTCAGAATTACTTTTTTTTTTTTTTTTTTTTTTATTAAGCAGTCATGTGGGTTTCTAAAAATTGTTCCTTCTGGCTAGACACAGGAGCCAGGTGCTGAGTTGACCTGGTGCGAAGTTTCAGGATTGTCCAGTCTTCACAGCAGATCTTCAGCCAGGCCTTCTGAATATTCTCACAGTTACAAAATCTATCCCCCCAGACTCGCAGATGCTGTTTTTCCCCCACTGGCTCTGCACAGAACATCATTATCTTTGCCAAGCTTCTGTCTCTATGGCAATAACAGATGGGAAGTGCTGTGGAATTATTCATGTTCAGGAAAGGAGGCAGTCAAGAAGGAAGAAAAGGGGGGCGGGGTGGAGAGGGGGCACGACCTGGGAGCTCGGCGGTGGGGGCCTAAGGAAGGGAACTTGGGTGGAGGTGCAGCGAGTGGTGGGGATTGGGAGGCTTGTGAGCCTTTCGGAGGCCTGTTGTGAGGAAATAATAATAAAAAAAATATACGAGCACAAGTATTTCCAGCCGGCCGACTCCAAATGTGGGCCCCCATAGGAATAACTCGAGGCAGTAAAACTAGAAGAAATTGGACGAAAATGGGGGAAAAAAAGGGACAAAGCTCGAGTCTCCTGAATTCTGTGCACTGCTACTCGGTGGACTATTTCAGTTCCCGATCTTGTGGTGGGGTGGAGAAAAGGGGATTTCTTGGTGTTTCGAAATGTGACGGAGCAGCTCTGCAGAGTTCAATATGCTAATCGGCTACCCTGGGAACCAGGAAGACCACCCTACACGCCTCAGAGGGTCACAGCCGGAAAGCTCTTGAGTCCTATATTCCCAACCTCGTCTCGTCACTCTCCAAAAAAAAAAAAGAAAAAGGCCTCAGTAAACACTGTAAAAACCTGTAATTTATAGCTCCCTTCTGGAACCGAGAGAGCAGCCTGGTGGGGTGGAGGCAGGAGGCTGGGGAGCAGGGATAGAAATGTTTGCTCTCGGTTTTGCCAGAACTTTGGCCACCCCTCCCGCCCGACCCGATGGCGGATGGAGGTCAGCCAGGGGAAGGCGTCTGGGTGGAGGCCGCTCGGGCGAGGCCGGGGCCGCCGGGGCGGGGCGGAGCGCCGGCAGCTGGCTGGGCGGCCCTTGGGCAGGAGGCCCCGAGGGGGCGAGGGGCAGCCCAGGAGGGAGGTCCCGCGGGGGCGGGGAGCAGAGCCGGCCCCCGGGGCCCTGCAGGGCGGCCGCCGCCCGGCTGCCTCCGGGGCGGGGCGGCCCAGCTGCGGCCCAGCAGGGGGAGGGTCGCCCGTGCCTGACCTCGGGCGGCGGCGCTCTGCCGGGCGAGCACTGCCTCCGCCCTGCCGGCTGCTGGGGTCGCGCACAGTGCACGGCGTGGCTGCCCTGCCCCCTCTTCCCCGCTGCGCGGCGTCCGAGCGGCCAGGGCGCCCCCGGGTCTGGCCCATCACCACAGAGCGGCGGGTGGGGCGGGGGCGGGGGCGGGGCGGTGGCCCCAGACAGCCGGCTGGGCGACTAAAGGAAGGAAGGAAGGAGGGAGGGCGGCGGTGAGGGTGGGGTGGGGAGGGAACATCCTGTCTGCGCCGGGTGCACCGCAGACAGCGCCGCGCGCCAGCCGCCCAGACGGCGCGCGGGGCCAGAAGCGCCGGGCGCGCGCCTGGGGGGAGGGGCACGCGCGCGAGACGACTGGGCCGGGGGGTGCCCTGAGGAGCTACAATAGGCCAGACGGCGCGCGCGTCCCCGAGGGGGTCGGGAGCCGCGAAGTGGCGGCGGCGGCGGCGGAGACGCCGGCGGTCCCGCGCGCGCGGCGCCGCCGCTGGCTTCGTTCCCTTCCCCTCCCCCTCCCCGCCGCCCTCGCTCTCCCCCGGGCGGCCGGAGACGGCGGCGGCGTCTGCGGGAAGCCGTGTGTCTCCGCAGTGACGTGGGCGGGCCGAGGACTCGGTGACGTCAGAGGGCTGTGTGTAGCGATGTGTGTGGGGTTCGGAGCGGCGCCGGCACAGCCGAAGGGAGCGGGCGAGCGGCGACGGCGGCGGCGGGCACAGGTGCGGCTCCGGCTCACGGCTGGGACGCGGCGGAGGCGGCGGGAGGCCAGAGGCGCTCACCCTCCTGGGAGCCCGACGGTGGCGACAGGGGCGGTGGGGAGTTCACAAAGCTCGTGGAGCTTCCCGGGCACCGAGGCCCGAGTAGGGGGTTTGGATGCGCGGGTCCCGGGGGGGGGGTCGGGGCCAGAGGGGGTCGCTAGGCGCGTGTCCCACAGCTGATCACGCTTCGTTGGCCCCAGGCGGTGGGCGCGGGCAGGGCAGGGCGCTGCACTTGACGGGAGCCGCGGGGACCCCGGAGACCCGGACGCCCGTCACCGCCCCCCTCCCCCACTCCAGCAGCGCTCCGCGGGGATGCCCTGGTCTCGACCCGGTCCGTCAGCCCCCGGCGGCGCGGGGATCCGCTCTCGGCGCCTGAACTGCCCCAATGCCCTCTTCGTTCTGGCCCGGGGCTGGCGGGGGGAGGTGCACCATTAGGGTCGCTGAGGTGACACCCGAGAACTTCCCAGGGAGTGGGCGCGCGGAGGGGGGGGGATTTCCACAGTCCTTCCCGCGGCCCCCGCGGGGGGGCGGTGTTGGGAGGGCACTTGGGGTTATCCCAGGCTCGCGGGTGGGGGTGGGGGGACTCCTCCCTTTACTTCCCTCCGCCCCCTTGCACACCCACCCCCAGGCTTCCCGTGTCCCTTGTTCTCCCCCTCTTCGGGTTAGAGATAGGTGGGTGGCTTTGAGTGGGCGGAGGACTTCAGGGTTTTAGGGGCTCCCGCATTCTAGGGCATGCCTCTTGCCCTCTTCCTTGGCCTGTGTTGACTGAGGTGTGTTCTCGTGGTGGACAAAAATCTGTACGATGGTTGGTGGCATTGGTCCTTAATCCTTTGGGTCTGTTTTAAGGTAAATTGCTGAGAGTTTGGGAAGTAAAAATTTCTATTTATTGGATTTATTTTGGGTTTTCTCTCAAGAAGGAAGTAGAAGAGTCTTTTCTTTTCCCCTCTTCCTCCATTTGCATTCTTTGTGAGGTTTGTCTGCCTTGTGCTTTTTGTCCCGGATTAGTCTTGTTCAAGGTTGGAGATTCCCAGGTGTGGAGTCTATAGCTTTTGGCTTCCATTAAGTAAAATCGCTAACCTTTTAAAGAGAGAGTTAATTTTTGTCTACAGTTATTTCAGAAAATTAGTGTACATGGACTAGCTGAATTAATTCACTTAAAATTGTAACTTGGTTACATATGGTAGATATGTTAACTCCTATCTGATTTTTTTGGATGAAACTGTTTTTTTTTTTTTTTTTAAATAGGAGATGAAGTAATGGATTTTTTTCCTCCCTTAAAATGGCATAACTGAGAAAGCCTCTGGTACTGATTGAGATGATCTGTTTAAGAGTCTTCATGTTCTGAACTCGAATGGCCTTTTGTGTTGTATTATTGCTAGCTTTCTCCAACTCCAAATTGCTTTCCTATTTAAATGAATGTTCTTCTAGTAAACTGGTGTTAGATTTAAAGAAATCACTCAAGCTTCACCTTTGGTAAAGTGAACTCAGTTTAAGATTGAGCAACTGGTTTCGGCCGGGTGCGGTGTCTCACACCTGTATTTCCCGCACTTTGGGAGACCCAGGTGGGAGGATCACCTGTGGTCTGGAGTTCCAGACCAGCCTGACCAATATGGTGAAACCCCGACTCAACTAAAAATACTAAAAAATTAGCTGGGCGTCGTGGCTTGCGCCTGTAGTCCCAGCTACTCGGGAGGCTGAGACAGGAAAATTGCTTGAACCCGGGAGGCGGAGGTTGCAGTAAGCCGAGATCACTGCACTCCAGCCTGGGTGACAGAGCGGGACTCTGTTAAAAAAAAAAAAAAAAAAAAAAAAACAAAAAACCAACTGGTTTTAAACTGGCCCCCTTTGGCCTCTGAAGCAAATTCAAATGTAACTGTTCCCCCACCCCCTTCTCTTCTTCCAGATTAATTAAAAGAAGAATGAACTATAATCCTTGAAGATAACTGGGCAGTTTTTTAAGTCGGAGGCTTTTCTCACTGGTTTGAGGATTTACACACGTCTTCGGTTTTCCAGCACAGACCAGCAGACCATCATTTTTAGAGGACATACTCCCTCTGCCCTCCTTTTCGGTTTCCTTGGTGGTAAAGATTAAATTTGGTTGCATCATTTTGAGTTGTGTTTGAGTCTAGATTTTATGGCCCAAGGAATGGCATAAACTTTTCATGTGTTTTGCTTAAAACAAACCAAACCATTGCATTGATCCTGGACATCTTTAATTGAGAAATTGGTAACTTTATTTTAATATGTATATCTGAAGAATTCAAGAAAACAAAGGCATTCTCAGAGGTGTGCCTCTTTATTGTTAGAGGCAAAACGAACAGTTACATAGGACTTGCAGTGAAATTATACCAGATTATATAAGGAGAACCAAAACTAAGTCGCAAAATTTATTAATTTAAGGGAATCTCTCTTTGAAAAGTTTCTTTGAGAGTAAGTTACTATAAGCATTTGTATACATTCATTTCCTCTTTTTCAAATAAGCAACTAAATAGAAATGCTAATCTCAGATTTAATTATTTAACAGAAGAGTGTAGGATGGAAAACCTCCGGACAAATTTCTCCTTGGTTCAGGGCTCAAATAAAAAACTGAATGGGATGGGAGATGATGGCAGCCCCCCAGCGAAAAAAATGGTAACAGACATTAATGCAAATGGAAATATGATAAACAAGGTGCCAACAGTTAAGAAGGAACACTTGGATGACTATGGAGAAGCGCCAGTGGAAACTGATGGAGAGCATGTCAAGCGAACCTGTGCTTCTGTTCCTGAAACTTTACATTTAAATCCCAGTTTGAAACACACACTGGCACAATTCCATTTAAGTAGTCAGAGCTCACTGGGTGGACCAGCAGCATTTTCTGCTCGGCATTCCCAAGAAAGCATGTCGCCTACTGTATTTCTGCCTCTTCCATCACCTCAGGTTCTTCCTGGCCCATTGCTCATCCCTTCCGATAGCTCCACAGAACTCACTCAGACTGTATTGGAAGGGGAATCTATTTCTTGTTTTCAAGTTGGAGGAGAAAAGAGACTCTGTTTGCCCCAAGTCTTAAATTCTGTTCTCCGAGAATTTACACTCCAGCAAATAAATACAGTGTGTGATGAATTGTACATATATTGTTCAAGGTGTACTTCAGACCAGCTTCATATCTTAAAGGTACTGGGCATACTTCCATTCAATGCCCCATCCTGTGGGCTGATTACATTAACTGATGCACAAAGATTATGTAATGCTTTATTGCGGCCACGAACTTTTCCTCAAAATGGTAGTGTACTTCCTGCTAAAAACTCATTGGCCCAGTTAAAGGAAACTGGCAGTGCCTTTGAAGTGGAACATGAATGCCTGGGCAAATGTCAGGGTCTGTTTGCACCCCAGTTTTATGTTCAGCCTGATGCTCCATGTATTCAGTGTCTGGAGTGTTGTGGAATGTTTGCACCCCAGACGTTTGTGATGCATTCTCACAGATCACCTGACAAAAGAACTTGCCACTGGGGCTTTGAATCAGCTAAATGGCATTGCTATCTTCATGTGAACCAAAAATACTTAGGAACACCTGAAGAAAAGAAACTGAAGATAATTTTAGAAGAAATGAAGGAGAAGTTTAGCATGAGAAGTGGAAAGAGAAATCAATCCAAGGCAAGTTTTTTATATCAATTTTTAATAATGGTAATGGTTTACTTTGAAATGAAAATTCTGTGTTTAGTGTGTAAACTTAACCTGTATGTTGAACATTGCTCATGCAACAACAACAAAATGCCGATCGATATTTTTGTATTGCAATTTTTAGGCCATAAAGTGCTTTCCAGTATGTTTTCTCATTTGACTTTCCAAACAGTGGAAAAGTAAGACTTGTGAGAGAAGTAAGACTATTTCTCCATTTTATAGATAAAGCAAATGAAGCTCAGAGAGATGAAATGACTTTCCCAAAATTATGTAGCTAGAGAGTGGAGGAGTTAGGGCTTTTTTTTTTTTTTTTTGTACTTTTAGTAGAGACCGGGTTTCAACATGTTGGCCAGGCTGGTCTTGAACTCCTGACCTCGTGATCCACCCACCTTGACCTCCCAAAGGGCTGGGATTACAGCCTTGAGCCACCATGTCCCGCCAGGGCTTCTTTTTCTTATCCTCTTTTGCACACATCCTGCCTCTTGACCACTACGTCTGTTTTTCTAGGACTCAAGATAATTTGCACTTTGGTGTTATCTCCATTTGCAAATGGTACAATGACTAGTCAAAACAATTCCTGTGGGCTCGAAACAGCATTTTTCAGAGATGCACCTATGATTTCTGATGTTTCTATGCTTAGATATTTAGGCTTGCTCAATATTTGAAATGGAAAAGACATGTATCTGAAGAATTTGTGATTTGAGTAAGCAAGATTTTTTTTAAGAAAGGGATAACTAAAAAAAAAAAAAGACAGAATAAGGAAAAGTTTATTTTAAACTAATAAAGTTTTTTTTTTTTTTTTTTTTTGAGACGGAGTCTCGCTCTGTCACCTAGGCTGGAGTGTAGTAGCAGGATCTCAGCTCACTGCAAGCTCCGCCTCCCGGGTTTACGCCATTCTCCTGCCTCAGCCTCCCGAGTAGCTGGGACTACAGGCGCCCGCCACCTCGCCCGGCTAGTTTTTTGCATTTTTTAGTAGAGACGCGGGGTTTCACTGTGTTAGCCAGGATGGTCTTGATCTCCTGACCTCGTGATCTGCCCGTCTCGGCCTCCCAAAGTGCTGGGATTACAGGCATGAGCCACCGCGCCCGGCCTAAACTAATAAAGTGTTAATATAAAAACCTGCCAGGCTCAGTGACTCACACCTGTAATCCCAACACTTTGGGAGGCTGAGGTAGGTGGAGCACCTGAGGTCAGGAGTTTGAGACCAGCCTGGCCAACGTGGTGAAACCCCGTCTCTACTAAAAATACAAAAATTAGGTGGGTGTGGTGTCACACACTTGTAATCTGAGCTACTCAGGAGGCTGAGGCAGGAGAATCGCTTGAACCCCGGAGGCGGAGGTTGTAGTGAGCCGAGATTGCCCCATTGCGCTCCAGTATAGGCGACAAGAGGGAAACTCCATCAAAAAACAAAACAAAACAAACGAACAAAAAAACCTATCGGCAGGTGGGAGCAGTGACTCACAATCCCAGCACTTTGGGAGGCCAAGGCGGGCAGGGCACTCAGGTCAGGAGTTTGAGACCAGCCTGGACAACATGGTAAAACCCCATCTCTACTACAAATACAAAAATTAGCCAGGCGTGGTGGTGTGTGCCTGTAGTCCCAGCTACTTGGGAGGCTGAGCCAGGAGAATCTTGAACCTGGGAAGTGAAGGTTGCAGTGAGCTGAGATCACGCCACCACACTCCAGCCTGGGCATCAGAGTAAGACTCCGTTTCAGAAAAAAAGGAAAAAAGACACACACAACCACCTATCAGCCAAGGTATCATAATTTTATTTTTCCCGCTGCATTATCTAGTAGGCTAAACTATTATCTTCATTCTGAGGTTTTGAATGCCTTGGTCCTAGGTAATGGACAAGATTTGGATTATTAAATATTCAATTTGTTGATTGGGTTATTTTATATTTTTTCTATTTGACTAAAATTGATGTATAATAACAATTCCTAACAGTGTTTAAAACGTGGCAAGCATTGTTCTTGAGCAGTTTTACATATATAATTTTATTCTTAACAAGAGGTTGGCTATGTTTCATTTAGGAACTTTGAATTTTTCCACTATTAGTTTTGATTCCTTGAAATATCTTTGCCCTTTTCTATTTTACAGAAGAAATGAATAAAGCATATTAAATGACTGACTGAAGGTTTATTCACAGCAAAGTTAGAACTTGGATTTAGTCCTTAAGACTTGGGATCCTGTGCTTTATTCTGGTGCCTTTAAGGTTTGGAGGGAAATTTAGTTAACAGTGTAGTTTAAGACATTGGTTTAACCTAATGAAGATAATCATTTTAGACTCATTTACGGTAGTTTGCTGCGTGCTGCTTCCAGAAGACCAGCACTTTGAAGTTTCTTGCCAGTGTCTGCTAGATAAGTTTAAATTCTTCAGGTGCAGTTATTAACTGATTTTTTTTTTTTTTTTTTTGAGACCGAGTTTCACTCTTGTTGCCCAGGCTGGAGTGCAGTGGCGCGATCTCAGCTCACTGCAACCTCTGCCTCCTGGGTTCAAGGGATTCTCCTGCCTCAGCCTCCTGAGTTGCTGGGATTACAGGCACCCGCCAGCACGCCCTTTAATTTTTGTTATTTTTAGCAGAGACTGGTTTCGCCATGTTAGCCTGGCTGGTCTCAAACTCCTGACCTCAGGTGATCCACCCGCCTCAGCCTCCCAAAGTGCTGGGATTACAGGCGTGAGCCACCGCGCCCAGTCTATTAACTAATTTTAAATCAGGATTGACTTCAAGCCAGTGCTCAGTGTAGAACTTGCTTACAGTTGGACTTGTCCCGTGCTGAAGTTTGTGCTCGGAGGTTATATTTCAAAATGTGGAATGCCCCTTTTGATTTTTGTGATATCTTGCCGCCAAGCTAATTAGGTGCTGTACTCCTTTTTTTTTTTGTAGAGACAAGTGTTGCTCTGTCGCCCAGGCTGGAGTGCAGTGGCGTGATCTCAGCTCACTGCAACCTCTGCCTCCTGGGTTCAAGCAGTTCTCCTGCCTCAGTCTCCCAAGTAGCAAGAATACAGGCACACACCACCACACCCAGCTAATTTCTTTTGTATTTTAGTAGAGAGGGGGTTTCACCATGTTGCTCAGGCAATGCGCCTGCCTCTGCCTCCCAAAATGCTAGGATTACAGGCATGAGCCACCATGCCCGGCGGTGCTGTACTCTTACGTGTCTATTGGAGGCCACATTATTTGCCAGATATTGTTGCTCCAGTCTTTTTGTTTTTGAGAAGGAGTTTTGCTCTTATTTCCCAGGGTGGAGTACAATGTCGCAATCTCGGTTCACTGTAACCTCCACCTCCCAAATTCAAGTGATTCTCCTGCCGCAGCCTCCCGAGTAGTCAGGATTACAGGTGCCCGCCACCGTGCCTAGCTAATTTTTTGAATTTTTAGTAGAGATGGCATTTTACCATGTTGGCTAGGCTGGTCTTGAATTCCTAACCTGAGGTGATCCGCCTGCCTCGGCCTCCCAGTTGCTGGGATTACAGGCATGAGCCATGGCGCCCGACCCGTGCCGGTCTTTATTACTCTGACATAAGTGTATTTCGGATAAACTACTTTTCCTAATATTCTTGTTCTGTGTTTATGTGAAAAACATCTGAGAACCATGTTAAAGGTTAAAAAAAAAAAGATGATGGATGAATTTACTTAACTGAAACAATGTGCTAAGGTTTAGTTAACACTGAAACCATCTTTCTTCTGGGATGTAATCCCTTTTTGTTCCAGAATTCACTAATTTGAATACATTTTTGATTTTAAGAAGGTGTGAGATTTTTTTCTGATCTTTTTGCTATGTTATACTTTGCATTAGTATTTGAATTAGTGTTTGTGGTTTTTTCTTTTTTTTTCTTTTTTTTTTTTTGAGACAGAGTCTGGCTCTGTTGCCCAGGCTGGAGTGCAGTAGCATGAACTCGCTCACTGCAAGCTCCGCCTCCTGGGTTCACGCCATTCTCCTGCCTCAGCCTCCCGCATAGCTGAGACTACAGGCGCCCGCCACCATGCCCACTAATTTTTGTGCTTTTAGTAGAGACGGGGTTTCACTGTGTTATCCAGGGTGGTCTCAATCTCCTGACCTCGTGATCCACCCGCCTCGGCCTCCCAAAGTGCTGGGATTTCAGGCATGAGCCACTGCACCCGGCTGTGGTGTATTTTGATATTGCTTGTAATTTTATGTGAATTTGAGAAATTTAAAGGAATTTAAGAAAATTTCAAACACCCAGTACTTTAAGAAAGATTTTTTTTTTTTGGTGCATGTTTAATATGTACTTGAGTGGTTGTTTTATTCTGCTTACCACTTCACGTTTTAAAAATGTACTCAGCATTGTGAAGTACAGTTATTTTTTAGGGTCTGTGAGGAAGATGAATGACAATATTTCCCCCTCTTAGATGGGTCACATGCTCCTGGTTATATAACCAGAATCAGGAGTTGAATACACATCTTCTAACTTGAAGTTTAGTAAGTTTTCACTATTTGCCCCGAAGCACATGTTAGTAGCAGAAAGTGAATTTTGGGAAACATTAACTTTTCTTGTCAGTTTACCTTAGTACAGGTTGAGCATCCCAAATCCAAAATCTGAAATGCTCTAAAGACCAAAACTTTTTGAATGCTGACATGGCACTCACAGGAAATGCTCATTGGAGTATTTCAGATTTTGATTTTTGGATTTGGGATGCTCAACTGCCATATCATGCAGATATTCCAGAATCTGAAAAAATCAGAAATTCAAAATACTTTTGGTCCCAAGCATTTCTGATAAGGGATATTCAACCTGTATGATAATTCTCAAACTCTGTTTTAACCTGCATATAAATTTAAATACTAAGGTATTTAACTGAGAATGAGATAGTGCTTGACTGAGGAACAGTTTTATTTTCTTCTGTGAGTCATTGAGTTGGTTGCCAAACAAGCCAAACTGACCCAGGGGGAGCTCATTTTAAAAAGTCAAACTAGGCTTTTTTTTGTTTTGTTTTTGAGATGGAG